TAGAATAGGCCTTCAGCAGCCCATGCTGGCCGTAAGAGGCGACTATGCTTGTCGTAAGAGGCGACTAACGGGTTCGGGTGCTTAAGCTCGCTGACTTGGTTGATGCATGTCACCGTATCTCAATTGCGTGGATCGATACTCATGACATCAATCATTGGATTGACTGGTCTAGAATCGATTATTTACAGGCCCCGTCTTATAGCTGGAATATTGCTGACTGCGGCGTTAAACAACAAAATAAACTAAACCTTAACTGACTAGACTTTGCACAGTTGCTAGTCTGCATATAATCGGGATTTTAGATTATCTGCATGCTTTATACAAATTACTCATCCATGTGGAACGAAAAACAGATTTTTTTGGGTTTGGAAATCCCAATATAACCCCACTTGCAGTGAATATCAGCCAATTCAATCTGTGATCCAGGAATTACATTGAAAGAAAACATTTGTAAGACCTCAAGACAATCGGCATTAAATATTTTGTAGCATTCAAACCAAAACCAAATAAAAAATCATCATGAATCAGATAACAAAAGCATGAAATTATCCTGAACGGCAGATCTAAGCACTGAGGGTTAACATACCTGATACGGATGGACATGTAGGCTTGAATATGTTGAAACACATTAAAAACGTACTTATACTTGAAAATATTCACAATATTCTACTTGATATAGTGTTGCCTGTAATGGCAGGATTGTGTATTTCAATTATCTGTAATGTACCTACGGGAACTACCCACTGAAATGGGTTTGAGTGTAATTGCCCGCGTTGAATTAGTCATTAGAGAAACTCAACGTTTTGACGACGACTTCATCAATTATACAACACGTATTGGCACCGAGAAGCCACGAACCTAGTTTCAATGTACGTACCATATACAACAAACATTGTACTCATTTTTCAGTGGGTCAGCCTCGTGATCTGAGGCCGGCACTGTGTACATAGTTACCTCCCTTAGTTTCGATGATTTGTGGGTTCACATCCCAGGTGAGGTGAGGTGAGGTGAAATGGGGTTCAACGTCGCGTCCAAGATTATTGCACTTATATAGCGATGTACATGTACGTGTGTGTGTTTGTGTGGCTGCTTGTACTAGTCCGGACTGATGCCGATTTATAGTGCTAGCTCACTGAAATACCATGCCGCAGTTGAACCCCACTCAGACACAGTATACTGACTCCGAGCCGACCAGTCCTTGTTTTAGCCCCTTAATGCCGAGCGCCAGACAGGGTAACAACAAGTTCCATCTTTTAACGTCGTTTGGTATGACGTGGCCGGGTCACATTCCAGAGACTCACTGATTGTACATGTCTGTGAACACCAGAACAGCGCCTGTGTATGGAAGCCTGGAAGGGACATTGTCGCATTGGAATTTGGACCCTTTTTGCTTGTTTTTGTTAGGTGAGCGAGTTAGTATGGTTTTACGCCGCTTTTAGCAATATTCCAGCAATATCATGGCGGGGGACACCAGAAATGGGCTTCACACTTTGTGTCCATGTGGGGAATCGAACCCGGGTCTTCAGCGTGACGAGCGAACGCTTTACCCACACGCCCCTGATTTTGTTAGGGAGGCCAGTGGCAGATCTAGTGGCGTGGGGGTTGTTGTGTTCTGGGGTGTTCTAGGCGTGATCAACCCAATATAAAATGTAAAACCATTGCCTACCATCGTAACATGTTGGTTTGGTTGTTAAAGTAAAATCATATCGCGTTTGTGTATTTTAGGGGTAGACTTTAGAGTGGACTCCAACCCCAACGCCACAACGTGGTTATCGTCTACGACCTGAGTCATGTTAAGCTTTCCTCCAACATCAAGCGACCCAGGGTAGAATACGTCTTCAGCAACCAATGCTTGCCGTTAAAGGCGACTATGCTTGTCGTAAGAGGCGACTAACGTGATCGGGTGGACAGGCTCGCTGACTTGGTTGATGTATGTCATTGTATCCCAATTGCGAGCATCGATGCTCATGATATCAATGGGTTGTCTGGTCCAGATTATTTACAGACCGCCGTCACATAGCTGGAATATTGCTGAGTGCGGCGTAAAGCAACGAAAAACCCCCAAACAATTCAACATCAAGCTTACACGCCCAGATATGACTGAAATACTGTTTTAACCGGCGTCAACCTCAACAATGCTGGCGTCCATTTATGGTGTCATGTGGCATTGGGATAATAACTTCAATTGTCATGCACCCATGAATAATGTAACAATCAACATGACAACGGATCAGTGATACCTCAACTGTCGCTGACAAGGGTGACCGACTATAAAATAACGTATCTACCTCGAACAAAGGATATCTAACAAACTTACGAGAGCCATGTCTTGCCAAATAAAGTGGAGTTTTATTGAGAAGCTGATTAAAAACAATATTTTATTGGGGATCATATGAACATGTCCATTCAGATACATATCTTTCAAGACCGCCTCCGTGGTCTAGTGCTCATCTTCCCGAGGCAAGAGAGTTAACTGACTATAAAAGTCCAGTTTCCACCCTTGCCGAACTAGGCTGGAATTCATGGGCCCGATCATAGCGCCACCAGTGTTTATTATGACTTATGTACCTTCTAAGCCTCTCCTATGGACCAATCAGATTACCATCACTTGCATTAATTTGTTTCAAACAAAATGGCGACGCCCAGTCAAGACGATGTGATCGATAATAAAGATCTACATTGTGATAAAATGGATCTTACATCGCGAAGCGCATAAAATCACGCGAGCACCTTGATTAAAAATGAAAAGGTTTGGAAAATATCTGTTAACAACGAGTTGGCGGTGAACATGCTTTGTAAATCCTGCAATCGACCGAAATCTGCAGGACAGTTTACGGACCGGATTTCGATTTCGTTGCGCGATTTTGATTGGACTATGCATAGACTCGTTAGTCCAGCCAAAATGTAACTCCATAATACCAGCCTAGTTCGGCAAGGGTGGAAACTGGACTTTTAAAGTCAGTCAACTCTATTGCCTCGGGAAGATGTCTAGTGGTAGAGCGTCTGCCCGGAAAGCGGAAGGTCCGCGGTTCGATCCCTAGCCGGGTCACACCAAAAGATGTTTAAAGATGGTACTTGTTGTTACCCTGCCTGGCGCTCGGCATTAAGGGGCTAAAACAAGGACTGATCGGCTTGGAGTCACTATACTGTGTCTGAGTTGGGTATCCATGTTCAACTGCGGCATGGTATGTCATTTGGCTTGCACTATAAAATCGGCTTATGTCCGAACTAGTACAATCACACACACACACACACACACACACACACACACACACACACACACACACACACACACACACACACACACACACACACACACACACACACACACACACACACACACACACACTGACTGACTGACTGACTATTCAAACAGGGGCACGAGTGTCTCAGGACCCGTAACTAAGTTGTCTCCCTGATCCGTGACAGAATCCGCTGATTCTGTGCTAAAATCCAAGACTCTCCCGATAGTAAACCATATTTTGTCAGTACCATGCCCGTGCGCGTGGGTGTCACCAAAGTGAAGTCAACTGACTACGTCACTTTCCTCCTATCGCGTCGGGGCGGTCGGGTAGCCTAGTGGTTAAAGCGTTCGCTCGCCACGCCGAAGACCCGGGTTCGATTCCCGACATGGGTACAATGTGTGAAGCCCATTTCTGGTGTCCCCCGCCGTGATATTGCTGGAATATTGCTAAAAGCGGCGTAAAACCATACTCACTCACTCACTCCTATCGCGTCATGATACATCGGAAATACAGGGTAAATTTAAGTTTGTCAACCTCAACGGTGTTATCGTTAATTGTATGGACAGTGATGGACAACCAGTTCTTGAATAAAGCTTCTTAACGCTCCTCAACGTCATAAGTGGAAATTTTATACGTAGAATTGTTGCCGTCGTGGAAATTGTCGGTTTGAAGATAAACACCCTGCAATAATGGAATGACTAAATGATACTTGATATGTAGGTTATAGCAATGTATGAGATGTATAGGCAGATTGAACGTCATAACCATCGTAGCTGGGGCTAAATGATGCGTTTTATTTCAAACTGAATCCTTTACATTCCATGATCAAGTAGAGTTGTGAGATACCACACTTAATGGATCAATGCATACACCTCTCCATGAGTGTGATGGGTTTCGCGTTCGCTCTTCACGCCGTAGACCCGGGTTGGATTCCCTACATTGGTACAATAGGTGATGCCAATTTCTGGTGCCCCCGCCGACAAATTGCTGGGATAATGCTAAAAGCGGCGTAAAACCATACTCACTTGGGTTAAAACAGCTTTAACATGAGTAGGATGCTGAAGAGAATGCGTATGTTTTGCTTGCCCCAAAACACCTTTACCTTAGAAGACCTTCCCTTTGATAATATACAGATAGACATGAATGCTTCTCTTGAATAGAACTGATCGATACAATGAATATTTGTTGATTAAGTTAAAGTGGTATACGTAAAGTATTGGTTGTGTTTTGTCATGCGACAAGCACATTGGATGTGGGCGTCTGCATATGGAGGGAGGTCTGACATCCATGTTTTGTCCTCATCACAACAGACAGCATCATTTAGAAATATAAATAATAAATACTCGGGAAACGGGTTATCAATTGATTCGATCAATAGCATACAGCCGCGTCAGGTAAGCATTCGCCCTTTCCGTCACTGGGTTTCATGGTACTACCCGTCTGGATATCCCACCCGTGTTATATGGATGGTAGGACTAGGCATCGATCCAGTTGCCAGTTCCGTTACAGTTAGAAAAAGGCCGACCGTTTGGGTTTTGATTTTAATACTATGGTATATGCATTTGTGTAATATTTAGTATTGGTTCGACATCGGTTAAGGTAACTCGGGTATATTTGAGTGTCTGTGTTGTCTTTAGGTTCATTCAACCAATGACACCAGAACGTTTGTCCATCGTTCCAGTAGAATTAGCTGTGAAGATTCCGTGTAAATGGTTTAAAAACAATTAATCGATTGCTTTCTGTTTTCACGCGCAGATGAGCCCGACAACGAAGACCATGTTGTGCACTTTGAAGCCTCTTTCTGCCTGAGATCCCCCTGTTGTGCCCCATGTTGTGTGTTGTGCTTGACTGGCTATCCCGACAGTGATGGAAAGCTCCATGCATGGGACTACAAGGTTACAGTGCAATGGATTATGAAATACCTTTACCATACCAACATCTCTTTAATGCTTGTGGAGGATACATTTGTCAAACGAAAAGGCAGAGTCCCTGAGGAACAGTGAGTGACCTGCAAAGATTTCTCTGCAAGAAATAAGAACATGGTTTAACGCTGAAAACTGCGTTGTTTGTAGATAGATGAACAATTGATATATTGGGATATATCTGGAATCCATACAAAGTCCAAGATGAATGCTACAATTGATCTTGACGTTTATACGTGTTCTAAAGTAGGCTTGATGCTACCCATGATCAGTGAATATACCTGGTCTATTGGAGCTAGGGCATTTCTGTACTTTTTGGCTATGATCTGGTGTTTTTTGGGCGTCGCCATCATCTCCGACACGTTCATGTGTGGCATTGAGCGCATCACCAGCAAGACAAGGGTCATCAAGATCCCCGACTCGGAAGACAAGGACAAGTTCAAGGACATAGAGGTCAAGGTCTGGAATGATACTGTGGCCAATCTCAGCTTACTAGCTTTCGGGACCAGTGCACCAGAGATCCTTCTGTCAGTTATAGAAATAACAGGAAAAGGTTTTAAATCCGGTGAACTGGGTCCGGGAACGATTGTGGGTTCCGCAGCATTCAATCTGTTGGTCATCACTGCTGTGTGCATCGTTTCGATTCCTAAAGGGGAGGTGAGAAGGATTAAGAACATCAAAGTGTTCGCCATCACTTCGTTCTCATCCATGTTTGCCTACATCTGGCTACTTATCGTGCTGTTGCTGAGTTCGCCGGAAGTAGTGGACCTATGGGAGGCTGTCGTCACCTTCCTCTTCTTCCCTGCGCTCATTATCATCGCCTACGTTACGGATAAAGGATGCTGTTGCAAGAGCAACAGGACAGCCTCCGAGGTTGAGATCGGGCTAGGTAAGTGAGTGAGTGAGTGAGTGAGTTTGGTTTTACGCCGCTTTTAGCAATATTCCAGCATTATCACGGCGGCGGCTATGTAAGAAACACACTAATACATGAGTACGACGAGTTTCAATGGAGACCCGTTCCATAAAGCTAACGTGACCGTATGTCTCATACTTATATACAGTCAAGTCTCGTTAATCCGACACTCGTTAATCCGACACTCGTTAATCCGACAATCGGCTTTATCCGACACTAATGATGGGAACCGATTAAATCAGTGCTATTTAGACCCGTTAATCCGACAGTCTCGCACTCCGACTCCGACACACCTAATTTGCAACGAATTATCGAAATCACTCATTAATCAGTCTCGTTAATCATATTCTGTTAACAATGTAACATAACAATATGAATATTTCATTTATATTTTTTATTACGTGTTTGTATCGTTATCTATCTGTAGTTGTTGATTTTCGATCACGAACGTTGATACTACTTAATTTCGTTTATCCGACATACTCGTTAATCCGACATAATCATATGCAACCAACAATGTCGGATTAACGGGATTTGACTGTATAGACGTTTGACAGTAGTACCACTAAGATCTTTTTTTCGTACCAGGGCTACAGCCCAGTAACAGTCTTGTCGCTGAAACGCCCTGGGGCCAATAATTAGACAAAGACGAAAGACATTTGTATCAGGGTTACGTTCCACAAAAAAACCAACATCTTAGCGTTTGGACGACCACACGTCCTACTTTTGAGCCTATGTATACGCCAATCGTAAGAATGAGACCTTAGTACACATAAACATCGTTATAGGTACGATCAACAGACAAGGTTAGATGTTGAGATGTCTAGGCAATAAAAATCCATCATGGTTGCAGGGAGAGATCAGACAAATAACAAGTAAAGAACAAGTTTGAGATACTGATTAGATTGGATAGTGTAAGGATAATGTATAGGATAGATAGGATAGGACTAGATAGTGTGCGAGGTACAGATTAGACTGGATATTGTAAGGATACTGTATAGATAGATAGGATAGGACTAGATAGTGTGCAAGGTAGAGATTAGACTGGATAGTGTAAGGATAGTGTAGAGGATAGATATGATAGGACGGGATAGTGTGCGATGTAGAGATTAGACTGAATAGTGTAAGGATAGTGTAGAGGATAGATATGATAGGACGAGTTAGTGTGCGAGGTAGAGATTAGACTGGATAGTGTAAGGATAGTGCAGAGGATAGATAGGATAGGACTAGATAGTGTGCGAGGTAGAGATTAGACTAGATAGTGTAAGGACAAGAGAAAACGTTTCAGATTTAACTTGGTCAGGGACAAAATTGACGAGGTATTTAAAACATATACGTGAAGCAGGTTGAGGGTGGAGGTAGTTTTAAAGAACGCATCAAGGTTAAGGACAACTGAACATGGATTTAGGTCGTTGACCTTAACAAAATATATTCAATTATCATTACAAATGATTAATTTCGTTTTCGAAACTTTTTTGCTCTGAAACAATACTTTTTAATAATGGATTTCTTTGCTTTCATAAATGGATTTGACGAACCTGTTTGAGCTTTATATATTAAATACCAATGCTGAATACAGTAACGACAACAAGACGGCAAAATATCTAAATAACTGATAGAAACCTGTTCGTCGGAATCCTTTTAAATATTTCTTTGGATGATAATTTTATTTTGGTTGTTTCAAAACTGAAATTAAACAAAGAATAGGTTACTAATGTATTATGGCTTAAAGTTAATGCGTAGAATACACAGACAGGTATCCTTAGGATGAAGCACTAGATCACCATCCCAGAGATATTCTTTGAAGTACATTAACAAATACAAGTTTCAGTCGACACTACTTGAATTTCCATGGTAAAATGTCGCCCCCTTTAACTGCCCAACAAGTAGCATGTCCTTCCTCACATGGCTTAACTTGAAAGTTCCCCAGTCAGGGATGAAGAGGTGGATTGATTGGGAATGGATGGCGATGAAGATGGGGAAAACAATGGTTTCTGTTTTCAGCGATGCGTATGAGCTCCTGTGTTTATTTATTATAGCTGCTTACCCTCGGATGTATGGTAAGTCGTTGTGTTGCTGTGGTCGTGTTGTTGGGAGCAGTAGTTTACCGTCACAGGCGTCCTTAGCAACATGAAGTTTGTGCTTGTCGATGACGCTCACGTTGATATCGTAGTTAGAAGTAAATTGTCTCTGTGCAAACACTAGATGAGATGGTACACTCATATAGCTGTGCACACCACGTAACTTAGTGTAAAGTGCTCGCGCACCTGGGTTTGATTTGCGTAAATCGTGAAATGTTTTGTTTCAATATTTAGACCACCAAATACTTTTTTAATGATAGTTTATCATAAGCGTGGGTGAGTTGTTGTTGATGATGCTTTAAGTAACATACCATCAATATCACTGCACCGTACACAAGAAATGGGCTTCACCTCGGGCTTCGAACCTGGGCCTTAGGCCTGGCGAGAGAATAGTTTAACCACTGGACTACCCCACCGTCCAGCTTTCATAACATTTGTTTGTTTGTTTTTTAACGCCGGATCCAGCACTATTCCAGCTATATGACGGCGGTCTGTAAACAATCGAGTCCTGACCAAAACATCCAGTGACTTACATCATGAGCATCTATCGACGCAATTGGGATACGATGACATGCATCAACCATGTCAGCGGGGCTGACAACCCGATCCCGTTAGTCGTCGCTTACAACAAGCATAGTCGCCTTTTTGTGATAAGCATGGGTTGCTGAAGATCTATTCCACCCTGGATCTCGACAGGTAGCTTTCATAAGACGTTATGCTGACATATGCATAATATTTTCTTTCCAGAGTGTAGACTCACATATTCAGCTTATTGTTATTGCTAAGTAATACGTTATTGTCACGTATGCAATATAAACACTAATATGTTGGCTTCTTGGTATGTAGTGTACCGTCAGCCGTTGTATTTTTTGGCAAAGATTGAATAACCTTGTATGCTTCTCAGTGCCCGGATGGAAACACGCGCAGGCGCATATCATGCTCTCTTTTACCGTATTTGGTTGTTTGTTCAGAAATGGTAAAATGTCAATTTTAGCTTCTGGGACAGGTTTGTGTAGTGTCATAATGATTATGCGTGCGTGTGCGTGAGTTGGGTTTAACGCCGCTTTTAACAGTATTCCAGTTATATCGCGGTGTGTCAGCTTAATGTGGGAGGAAAGCCCGAAGTGATGCATGTCTCTGACGTGTATCACTTCGGTGAAACCCACGAGCACGGGTATGGTGCTGACAAACCTAGAAACATAATCAGGGCGAACCGGGATTCGAACCCACAATCATAGGTTTCTGGCGTGCCCAAGGGACGCAACTCTGCAAAGCGAATCGCGGCGCCTTAGACGACTGGGCCCCCCGTGCCCCCCGTCATAATGATTATGTATTAATTTAGCAAGCCAGGAACAGGCATACAATGGACAGAACCCCATTCGTGAACAGATTTGTCATAAATAATTTTCGATGATCCATTCATATAATTGTCACCGCTATGTAATATGGTCCGGCTGATAATGGTTATTCTCTGGCGTTGACGTTTTATATAAACTGCCGGGCAATAGAAGGTATACATACATTCATGCTTGATGGTAGCTGAACATGAATCAAACAAGATATTGTTTTTCGATTGAGATATATTTGATACGGGTATCATGGGCAATATGGGGCGGTCGGGTAGCCTAGTGGTTAAAGCGTTCGCTCGTCACGCCGAAGACCCGGGTTCGAATCCCGACATGGGTACAATGTGTGAAGCCCATTTCTGGTGTCCCCCGCCGTGATATTGCTGGAATATTGCTAAAAGCGGCGTAAAACCAAACTCACTCACTCACTCACTCACTCATGGGCAATATAACATGCGTCCTATCAATATGTCGCTCACAACAGATGACGTGCACATGACGTCACAAAGAACACGGGGCTTGCCAGTTCACAGTGCACGGGGGCGTTGGTGTAGCCTGGTGGTTAAAGTGTTCGCTCGTCACGCTAAAGACCCGGGTTCGATTCCCCACATGGGTATAATGTGTGAAGCCCATTTTTGGTCCCCCGCTGTGTTAATGCTGGAATAATGCTAAAAGCGGCGTAAAGCAATACTCACCCTCTCACAGTGCACAATAATGAGTCAAGCGTGAGTTTTCAAGTGCATACTTTCTTTTGCCCGGCAGTGCATATTAAAATCTGACTATATCTTCTTATAACCATACAGAGAAAAATATTAACAATTCATAAATGCCAAATATCAAATGTCTGAATTTCGAACTTGTTAACATTTATCAATACAATAATATGACCAGATGACGCTAAATCAGAACAAGGGAAAAACTGTATTTAAATACTTTTAAGCGAATTCCGCAGAATATTTCATTTTTATTGCCGGAGTCATTGCGCAAGGCTGTAACATGATCCGAATGCATGTGTTTCCCGCAACCCTTAATATGCCTCGACCTCCACCCTTACTAACCCGACTTTATTCTGACCATCCCTCAACCGCTCTCTCCGCCCGTCTCTTTCCTTCCCCAAGAGAAACCCCACGTTCTTCAATTCCCCACGTTGCTTACGCTGCGTGTTGTTTTCATTCTGATGAGACCGCCTCCGTGGTCTAGTGGTAGAGCGTCCGCCCAGAGAGCGGAAGGTCCAGGGTTCGATCCCGGGCCGCGTCATACAAAAAGACGTTAAAAGATTGTACTTGTTGTTACCCTGTCTGGCGCTCGGCATTAAGGGGCTAAAACAAGGACTGGTCGGCTCGGAGTCAGTATACTGTGTCTGAGTGGGGTATTCATGTTAAACTGCGGCATGGTATCTCAGTGAGCTAGCACTATAAATCGGCATCAGTCCGGACTAGTACAAGCAGCCACACACACACACATACACGTGCATGCACGTCGCTATATAAGTGCAATAATCTTGGACGCGACGTTAAACCCAATTTCACCTCACCTCATTCTGATGATAACATGATGCATTTTGTAATTAATATCTTATAAACTGTTGTATGAAATATTAACAGCTATTTGTGCTTTTTGTGACATCAGCTTGGTAGTTCAGCCTCCCTGTAATGTAACTTAAGTATATGTAAACCTACATGTTTGTTCATGTATGGAACTTTTCCGCTATATTTATTAGCCAAGGAGTGGTCACGTGTCTTTCGACTCTAAGTCAGGTATGATAATTTATGGTACTGACGTGAGCTACTTAAAATAGAATGGGTATTACCCGATTACCCGAAAATGGTATTCTACAAACCTAAGCCAGTGAGATGTCTCCGTATATTGGAACCTCCCAACGTTTGGATATGGATATGTTAAATCTGCTTTTGTCTCATTATTGTATAATAAAGCAATTATAGACTTTATATGAGGTAAATACCTGTTTTTTATGGACTCAGTTAAACAATATTGACTTAGGGCCATTCCCTGTGAGGAGATAAAAACAGGTATTAACCTCATATATGTGATAGCTCCGCGATTAATCGCAAAGGACAATGAAGAACGCAACGTGGTTTATTTCACGATAAAACATTCTTCTATCATGACGTCGTTTCTGGAGATTCGAACGTGCGGTCGCAAATTGATGACGTTATTTTTTAGAGTGTTTGATTGATTGTTTGTTGTTTAACGCCGCACTCAGCAATATTCCAGCGATATGACGGCGGTCGAGTCTGGACCAGACAATCCAGTAATTGATATCATGAGCATCGATCCACGCAATTGGGATCGATGACATGCTTCAACCAAGTCAGCGAGCCTGACCACCCGATCCCATTAGTCGCCTCTTACGGCAAGCATAGGCGTCTTTTACGGCAAGCATGGGTTGCTGAAGACCTATTCTACCCCGGATCTTCACGGGTCATTTTTTTAGGAGAGTGAAGTGTCTAGTGAGTTGTCCCCCATAGATGTAGCTGGGCAACGCAGGTGAACGCACTTGTGAGAATACCATACTTACACCCCTGTACATAAAATGGACTTGTCCGACATTTCCAAGGTCGGATTCTATTCAGGGAGTCATCATTATTTAATACGGGTATATGTAATTGAAGCTTGTACATTTTATAGACATTCTTAGAAGGGCTTAAACAATGATGCATATAAGAGATGATTTATTCTCCCTGCATTGTTTTATTGTACGATAAACAACCCCCATTCGTCGTTTATTTCTTAAACAGAGTCTATAATTGTATTTTACTAAGAGTACAGGTTCGGTATACTGTGTCTTTTACTTGGGTTGTTGGAATATCTATGACTATATATCTGAGAGAATACGAAAATTACTAAAACGTTTATGGTTTAATATGTCGTCAAACATTATCTGTTTTCAGATTTGCGAAAAGTAAAACCTCGTTTATCCAGACCCCGCTAGTTATGTGTAATCATACTGAGAATCTCACCCGAGTGTCTATTGCAAATATATGAACAGTTCTACAAAAGTTTAAAATTCCAAGACTTCCCGAGGTGTTTTGAACGTTTATCGGAACGTTTATATTTTAATATCCAAGTGATTCTTCAAAATGATTCTTCCAACTTTTTCAATTCGTAAACAGTAATAACCAGTGTTTTGAGTGAAAAAGCACAGGAGAGATTAGTGATGTCATTTGATTGTGACGTCATGGTTACCGATGACAATGGCCTGCAAAGCATTGCGATTCTTTCGGCAAACCTCGCCCCTTCCGTAACCGGAAATAGCCGATCGTTTTCAGATGGCATTGGTATTGAATTTCACACAAGCCATATCCCCGATGGAAGCCGGTTTGGGATAATGGATTAAAGGAACATCCCTGATGATCACTCTGTAAACAAATATTCCTTGAAACCAGAGATTTTTAATCCGAACAATTTCACTGGAGACTGTACCCTATTAATAGAGTTTAACTGTATATTTCTGGGATATCAACCCTGTTTCCCCCTGGTTGACCTCGCCATGATTCAATTATACGAGAGTTACGTCCATCGAGTGATAATTGATATTCTATACAAGGCCCACATCAACAATACTCATTGAAGACGAAAATCACTACATCGCCTCCAGAAGCACAGTGTGAC